ACAGGAGCAATATTGTAGCATACTATAAATATCTTAATATGCCTTACATTTAACAGGGTTTACCAATAAGTTTGACATAAGATAGTATGAAACAAACTAAAAGGAACTTATATAAGCCATATTTGAATCTATATTTCAAAATTTCTTCATTCATCTTCCGTTCATACTGCCAAATATTTCATATTTTTAGATAATGATTTTGAACCAACTTTAGCATCCATGGCAGTGATTAATAATTTAGTGAATATGCCAACTTCCCTTTTATACCAGTATAGCAAAATACGGGACTCACTAAAAGGTGCACACCACCATTTACCACTGCAAATCTCACTTATTTTTTCTGAGTATCTAATAATTTGGGGGTTTCAGGTCCTATGTTTGCCTACAATAAACAGAAAAAGTGGCAGCCACATGAATCAAGGTAAGGAATTCATTTAAAATATTGATAAATTCAGCGATAACATTTTGGACGTGACATATATAGACATGAAAAACCCCACAATGACTAAATTTATTAATAATTATTAGACAGAGAAAATGTTCAATTACAATGAATAAATGCTGATGTGTGATGATATGTGGTGCTGCATGGTAGTAACGTATATTGTGTGGTGGTATGCAGAGCTGTATGCACCTTTTTGTTAGACTGGCCAATTACTTACATTTTCCAGGCTAGTGAGTTTGTTGTTTCCAACTGAGAGCACATGCAGTCTTGTGAGGTTGTGCATGTTTTCCAACACTGCTATCCTATTGTTGTACAGTGTCAAATCTTCAAGTTTCACTAACTTATCTAAGCCTTCTACTACTTCAATGTTGTTGAATGATAAATCTGAGGGGAAAAAACCAATACAAAAATTACAAATACAAAACAAATCATCTCGTTCATAGGAAACTAATAGCAGTGGTGCATCCAGGGTTTTTAAACACCTTCATCAACACCTGAAAAAAAAAATAGAATTAAGTGTAAATTGCACTTGTTTAGGTTTCTTGTCTTTTTATTGGTGGATTTTACATCACTCAACATTAGTTATTTACACTATTTGTCACTCATTATGAAAATTTAGTTCCATTCATGCATTTTTTGTTTCATTTTGTCCCATTGCACACTTCAATCTAATACAATCTTTTCATTGGTTAAAATACGATGGACAGTTCCATTCAGAAAAAAGGTACACTTAACTTATTCTAATTTTTTTTGTTTTTTTGGATAAAACATCAAATGACAAGTATCTATTTTAGGTGGGTTATAAAACAAATTATGAATGTTTTTTAATCGAGCAATGGAAAGAAATTTTCATTTGTTGAAAGAGTGACTGTTTGATTCAACTTGGCTCTGGCTCATTGAATAGAAGATTCAATCTTTTAACTCATGAAAATATTCTTTCCATTGTGCTAATAAAAATTCACTATTTGTATACTATATTCCCTTTTCTCATCTAACAAGTGGTAGTAACAATAATAAAATACAGTGAGTGAATTAAACTTACCTAACCACACCAAGTTCACTAATGCATCAAGTCCTTCTATTGTCTCAATGATGTTGTTGTCCAGCTGAAGTTTGACTAGGCTTGTAAATTGCCACAAATTGTCAATTTTCAGAATATCTACAGATAGAAACCACAAAAAGATTACTACTTTTACAATGGAATTAACTGCCAAGACTTTTTTTTCTTCCTTGTTTTGCCAACTTATTTCTTTAAAGATCATCAGAGCAGGGTGAGAAAAAAAAATTTAAAAATTTCTGTTTTCTTATTTAGCAAATAGTTTTGCCAAAAACATCCAGACAGAGGAGAAAATAAAAATAAAATTGTATCAGCAAATGTAAAACAGTGTGGTAATGAGATGGTTAAATGCTTTAAATTTATATAATCAGAAGGATTATATATATACATACAGTATCTTATCTTTGGAAATTTCAAGGCAGCGAAGGGCGAAATAAAAATAATTTTTTTTTTCTGAAATTTCAATTTTTTGTGGCGGTTATATTTTTATTTGAAACCATCATTATTTGGGGGCGGCAAGTTTGCTAAAGAAGTATAAAAAAAAGGCTCGCCTTACCAGTCAATGACAGCCAAATATACTCTTGCATGGTAAACACTGATAGGTTTTGAATTAGGTTTGCAGCATTTGCTTTTTAATTGGCCATAATAAGCACATGTTGTCAGTATAAAAAATATTTTCATTTTTTATTGTGAAAATGGGATTTCTCTGCTATAAGCTTACCCTAAAAAATCAGCCCAATTTCGTGTTTAAGAGGGTGAGAAGTTAGCAGCGAAAATTGAAGTTGACAGCTTTTTGAACTTACTTTTGAAATCCAACCTCAATTTAAGGACATCCCCAAAGTCAATTCCTTCAGATTTAGCTATTTTTCCAGCTTCCTCCTTTGGTCCTTGTTCTTCCACTGCTTTCTGTAGCATGTCTTCCTCGATCACCGAGGGCTCCACAGTATCGTACAGACGACTCATTGTGTTTATCTTTCAACTTCCTAGATGGCTGAAATATTTCGAAATTCCCTACAATAAATTGTTATTAATAATCATTAATAGATCACTGTATCATCACTACTCAGGGTAGCCAGGATTGCCATCTAGAGGAGGGGTGCATGGGTGTGCAATGTGGTATAATGTGTCGCTGCCAACTAGAAGGAGGGGTGCATGGGTGTGCAAAGGGGTATAATGGGTTGCCTAGAATACCCAGCAGGATCAAGAGTCAGAGGCAACTAGACAATTTAAGAGTTGAGTGGAGAACTCACAAAATTGGGACAATTCTGCATGTGCAATAACTCATTATTAAATTTGAATACTGTAAATTTTCATGTTAAATTACATTCAAATTATCATACTTATTTTTTTTTTATTTCAATTACAAAATGTTGCCTTTTTTCTTATTTGCTTTTTGATTGTATCTTAAAATAAATTTTGTATTTTTATATAGGTAAATAGTTTCATCTGGATTCGAATAGCAATAAATATGTATAATTCCTTGTGAACAACGAAAAACAGAGAGCAGTAGGCCTAATAAATAATTGGTTTATCACAAGGAATTATACATATTTATATTCTTATACTTTAGTTAGTCATAATATTAATTACAATAAAAAATAACTTTGGAAATTAAAAAAATAAATTTTAATCTTTATTAAATTAACATTCATAAGTTGAAATAAATAATAAATTAATGAATAAGCCTAGGGCCTAGGCCCCTAAATAATTATAATTTTTATTTTTTTTATTTTAATGTTTGCACATGACTTTTAGTAATTCCCAACTGAAATTAGGGCCTAATTAGGCCTAGGCTAGGTTAGGCTAGGCTTAGCCTAGCCTAGGCCTATATAGGCCTAGTAGTAGGCCCTGGCCCTAGCCAGGTGGTAGGCCTAGGCCTCCTCCTCCTCCTCCTCCTACCATATGATAGGTCTAGACCTAGGCCTAGGCCTACCTATTATTATAATAATAAACAACACTAACATTCCCATTCTCATCGACAAAATACTATTGTAGCCCAATGGCAATTAAAATGTCATACCTGTATTTCTATCTCATTTTTTATTTTGTTATCACCTTATTCTTCGTCAATTCTTGTCAAGTGTAGGCTAGCCCTAGCTAGCCAGGCTTTTAAGCTGCTAAGTCGGTTTAGGCGCGGCGCGGCGAGATCTCTCAATCACCTATCTAGCTCTCGCTCTCTCCGCTCTGAAGTTGTGTACAAACTATTGATGGCGCTGTAAGTTGCTAGGTTACAGTGTAGGCTAATATCCAGGCGGTGCATGGTGCGAAGAACTGGATAAACCATAGAGAGATATAATAAGAATATTGTTTAATAATAGCTCTATGGGATAAACACAGAGTTATGATTTATTTCATGGATGAATGGGACCTTTATTGGGCCTACGATGTTGCTTTAATTAATGGCAAATAATAAATTTAAAGTGTTAAAAGTGTTGCATATCGCAGGGAAATATGCAAAGGGGCTGAAATCAAGCTTTAATTAGCAAAAATCTAATGATGGTGACCGAATGGGTATTTTATAAACCGAGAGAAAAAATGGAAAACAGATAGGAAAATTCATAACTGAGTGAGGGGACACAATTCTTATAAATATTTGCACTAAGTTGGGGTTTGTTTTTCTTCCAATAAAAAAACAAAAACAAAAACAAAGTCATTCTAATCAAAAAGAACAATTGGATTGCACAGTGTACGATCATCCGATCAACAATTTATCAAATTCACAAGTGATGCAGATAACCAGGCGTTACCGGGATTATCACAATCATATTATGGTAATGATGGATTCAAGCAAATGGAGAAATGAAAAGGCGGTGCTTAGATTGATTGGTCGCAAATTATGATCATATACTGAGGTCTATCCACAATAATATCATCTGCTAAAAGAAGCCTATCCGACTAAAGGACGCGCCCTTTTTCTGGAGGTTCCCCCCTGCCCGCTCATTTTTTTTATTTTTTTATCTAGTGATGATCAGTAGAGAAACATTGGTCCCTGAAAAAGGTCATGGTGGCCCTGATTTTCACTATAAAATAAGAAAGAAAGGCAAAAGAAAAAGATAAAGGAAACATAAGAAAAAAAGGGAAAGAAAAATGAAAACATTAGAAAGAAAAGAAAAAGAAAAAAGACATAAGAAAGAAATGGAATGGAAAGGAAGCATGAGAAAGAAAAAGAAAGACTAAAGAAAATGAAACGTAAGAAACGAAGGGAAACATTAGCAAGGAAAAGAAAAAGAAAATGAAACATAAGAAAGAAAAGGAAACAAGATAAGGAAACATATGACAAAAAGGCAGGAAAGTGTAAGAAAGAGAAAGAAAAGACAAGGAATATCGAAAGACAGAATGGTATAACAATGGTTGAAAAATGAGAAGGTAGGGTAATAGCATTATTATTATTATTATTATTATTATTATTATTATTATTATTATTATTATTATTATTATAAACCTTTAACCTTTATTATTATTATTATTATTAGGCCTATTATTATTAACAACAGGTTATTCAAAAGGAAAATCGCCTCATGATATATTAAAGATATAATAGGAAATCTATAATTTCAATAGGGTCTGAAAATGTATTATGGAAGACAATAGCTCTTTCCTCGATTATATTCAAAAATCTTTATCTCATTCCATTCCCGAAGTTTTTTGGGTTTTTTTTTTCTCTCTTTTTCTTCAATTGCTAGGCCTATTAAGCATGGTTGTGTTTTTTAGTGATGCATTTAATATCAAATCAAATAATCAAAAACTTTTATTCTATGATATTTAAATTCAAGGGTTGAGCCAGGATTTGCCCCTGTTTTAAAGCAAGTTAACATTTTTCATTTAGCTGTGCCGTACCTACTGTCAAAGTTACCTTTGCATTTTGCTATACTTGTATTGTGACTATATTTCGATCCATTCTCTTTTTTAAAACTTAAAAAAGCAAAGTTGACATTTTTTTTTTGGCTGTGCCGCGTCTTTAATTTTCACTGCTGTCAGTATCCTCTTTGCATTAACATTGTTTTCACATCGTTATATTCACCGGCCATGACATTTTCCCGTTGCGAGAAAGTCTCCTTGTTCGATGTGTTTTTGATAGGCCTATATGTGTGTGTGTAAATGATAGGCCACCTGTGTATGATTTGTATGCAAGTGAGAGGTTGTGTATGGTTTGTATGTGACTTCCATGGATCCATCAAACTATTAACAACTTTTATATTCTCGATCGTCAGAGGTAGTATGGTCGTAGATATGGCGAAACTTTTTTTGTACCTTGTTTAGCGGACCTGCCGCTTTCTAAATGATGATTTCGAATAAAACAATTTTATATTTACACCGCCACGTAAAATGGAAATTTCAGAAAAAAAAAATTTCTTTATTCTTATTACGCCTTAAAATCTCCAAATATAATATATGTAGCCCTATGTATTTCTTCCTAATTATATAAATTTATAGCATTTAGATATCCCATTACTACTGTTTACATTCAATACAATTTCATTTTTATTTTCTCCTCTGTCTGGATGTTTTTAAAGACCAAAATAAAACTAAATTTTCTTTTTATTTTTCTCCGCCCTCCTCTGACGATCTTAAAAAAATCATAAAACAAGATATAAACAATTTCGCCTAAAGTAATTCTACACGATTATAAGAAAGATTATAGCGCCTGCCCCAAAATATCTTGTAAAAAGTGAATCATAACGTCCAAACTTGTTAAAAGTGCGACCTCACAATTGACGTTGACGTTGTCACGGTTGAGGAAACACATGTTGTCGAAATCAACATGCACTGATTTGGAAATGGTTGTGTTAATACGGTGGAGCAAAATTTTAAAACCTTGGTTGTTTTGTTAATTGATACATTTGAAACGGAATGTCATAGGCCTACAACAACATTAAAGGTAACATTTTTATTTCCACTTTATCTGTGTACACTGTGTTTGATGTACATTGTTGCGTTATTATTGAAGACGCCTACAAGATACAGTGGTGAAAGCCTACATCTAATCTATCTGCGAGTAGTACTGTTGTCAAGTCATGATTAGGAAAAGTGAAGAATTGCTAGGATCTGGATCTACACATCTAGATGTGTATAAGAGACAGAAGTCATTCTAATCAAAAAGAACAATTGGATTGCACAGTGTACGATCATCCGATCAACAATTTATCAAATTCACAAGTGATGCAGATAACCAGGCGTTACCGGGATTATCACAATCATATTATGGTAATGATGGATTCAAGCAAATGGAGAAATGAAAAGGCGGTGCTTAGATTGATTGGTCGCAAATTATGATCATATACTGAGGTCTATCCACAATATCATCTGCTAAAAGAAGCCTATCCGACTAAAGGACGCGCCCTTTTTCTGGAGGTTCCCCCCGCCCGCTCATTTTTTTTTTTTTTATCTAGTGATGATCAGTAGAGAAACATTGGTCCCTGAAAAAGGTCATGGGGCCCTGATTTTCACTATAAAAGAAGAAAGAAAGGCAAAAGAAAAAGATAAAGGAAACATAAGAAAAAAAGGGAAAGAAAAATGAAAACATTAGAAAGAAAAGAAAAAGAAAAAAGACATAAGAAAGAAATGGAATGGAAAGGAAGCATAAGAAAGAAAAAGAAAGACTAAAGAAAATGAAACATAAGAAACGAAGGGAAACATAAGCAAGGAAAAGAAAAAGAAAATGAAACATAAGAAAGAAAAGGAAAAAAGTACCCAATGCCTACAACATTTGATGAGGTACGGATGTTTATCATTTGTTATCGTAAACCGTGCCACATTAGTGTTCATTATAACCACATTAAGCTTGGCACTCACTGTATTGCATGACGGTCTTTCTAATTCTGGTCCTTGTGAGCACTAGGATCACAATCCCTATTCCAGTGAAAACTTAATGGTCATTTTTAGTATATTAACTGTTTAAGGTGTTATTTTTATATCTCTTTATTTTCTGTACATTAAAACATATATTTATTACATAGTAAATTGTTACTGCAATAAATTAAAGCTGTGTTTAAAAGGTAAAGTAAATAAACCAGAATAGTACAGCATTCATTCCAATCCCCCCCCCCACACACACACACACATACCCACACATTGCAAATCATCTAACATCAAGTGCAGTTCATTGACCCTAATCAATCCATAGCCAATTAACCAATCAATGAAGGTCCTGATATCATTCAGGTGTGTTCATTCATGGAGGTATACTTTTATAATCCAATTAAAGTCAGTTTGTAGTATCCAAGGTCATTTGAGGTCAATCAACATAAACCTATGTTGTGTGTATATTGTTAATACAAGCATGCGTAGTTCAAACTACAGAATGGCTTTAGTAATGCCTTGCTGCAGCATTTATATCAAGAACAACAAAATATATATAATTGTGTACAAATAGTAAAATCTTAAAATATTTCATGTAGCATACTGAACCTGAAATTTCCCATTATTTGATACCTGAAAAATTTACATTTAGGAAGCGCAGCGGGAGTTGGATCCTTACAGCACCCTTCTTATCACTTCATTTTTCCATCATTTTGTTCTTGATTTTCATCTATTTCTCAAAAAAATGTAATAAAATGCAATACTGTATATAGAAAAAACTAAAGTTTGACTTTACAAAATTCTTTAAAAATAAGTTTTTTAAGTTGGCATGATTTTGAAAAATTGCCTTTTTTTAAATGGCCTTCCCTGTGGTACAACATGTTTTCCAGTTTTGAAAACAGTTTTGTGAAATGGAGGTTTTCAACTTGAAAATTGATCCTACTTTATGTTCAGGAGGTTGGGTTTAATTAATTAAACTTAATATCACATATATCACAAAACAATCTATAAAATTTATAAAATTTTTATAAAGTTTGTCATTACAACAGATCTGATCAGAAAGTGAATGGATATGCAAAATTGGAATTAAAAATTTAAAATAAAAACTGATTAATAATAAACAACAATTTATATATCATAAAATTTATGTAGAAAAGTAACTCTTTTTATTTATTTACTATATCTCTATGTTAATATCCTAAATATAACTATTTAACATAATTAGTCCTGTTGTCTTGTGTGCTAAAGTGTCAACATAACAATTTATGACCACCGAATATTCTGTTAGCAGAATGGTTAAATGATAATGACAGTGGCAGCACCAGAATTTTTCCAATGGCAGGGCAACATTTCTGACAGGCAGAGCAAGACAGAAACTAAAGGCTAGTGCCTCATAGTGGAGTCCGGTGCTAATTGTTGTCTTTTTTATTTCAATTTTATTGTGGTTGTTGTCTTGGATTTTCATGGGTGATCTGTACAATTGGTGACACCTGGATCACTCAAAATGTAACACCTGTGCTATCTCAACACCTGCAACATGTTTTTCAACACCTGTGTAATTTACAGAAGTGGAAGCCTCTGTTTGAGAAGGTGAGTTTGTTACTAATTACTTTGATGAATAATTGATAAGTTACTGTAATTAGTGTAGTATTTTCCATTTCCACAATTTGATCAGGCATACAGTGCATATAGTTGTATGATCGTTTCTAATTGTTAATATGATGCTTCCTTATCGCCCATAGCTTATCAAACTAAATTTCATAAATCTCAATGCTATCTGAGACAGTTATGCAAATGTCTTTAAGTTGCAATCAGTGCATTACGGTATGTACAATGTGGGAATACTGTACATTCTACAGATGAGGATTTGTTGGTTTTTATATATTTTATGAAATACAATCCTCATTTGACATTCCAACCTAGCCTCAATTTTTTTTAAAGCAATTTCAGACTCGGTGTTCTTATAAAATATGTTCTTATTACAGTGTATTTTAGTTAATCATAGGCTACTGTGTAGTGGATGGTATGCCTTTAGACCTCCATATTGTACTGTATTAAATTCTTAGCAATTCAAGTTTTTTATACAAAAGGCAAATTATTTTATACAAGGCAAAGTAGCAATAAATTATTTGCTCTAATCATGGTTTAATTCAAATTCTCACTTTACAATATTTAATTGTTTTCTGTTTACTGTTTTCAATTTTCTTCCGGTAGAGTACTAGATCTAAATATTATAATTATTCATGAATGTTTATTGGTCTGCGATATTAGTAATTGACAGTTCAGATGTGATTGCAGATATGTGATTACATGCTGTGTACTAGATAAGGAATGTCAAAATGTATTTTATTAAAATATTATTTAAATTAATATGAATTAAGCAACCTTGTGGCAGTCATATTGAATATGAAGCATTGATGTTGATGTATTCGAAAGTAACCTGCATTGCAGTGTTACAGATCATCTTAGAAGGCTCATATTATTAAGAGAGGATGCCCTTGGCTGATCATGTAGTGTGCGTATAAATCATTTACTGCCAATATCAATTCGACTTCATTAGATACATTATGAGCAAAAATTTATTCCTTTACTAATAAATATTAATTTCCTGTCCAGAATACATCACTCCCTCAAGGTATACTCTGAAGTACAAATGCTGAAAATAATGAGATAGATTTTATTTTGCAAAAATATATTTTTTTTTTCAAAAATGCTTGTATGATTTTCAAGGCTATTTTCAACCTTAAATTATATAATAAATTTTATACCTACTGTACAGTAGTTACAGTAGGCCAGGATTTTAACCAATTGGTGAAGTCAAGAGGAACAGTTGGAAAAATTGTTTTTGAGAATGTTTCACTTGAATTGTCACATGGTAATATGTAAAACTGAAAAATTTATCAAAATCTACAAAGTTACATTATGATGATTTTAATAGCTTTTTTTTAAAAAATTCTTTGTTCATAAGAAATCAAAATTGCTGAGCAGCCAATGCAGATTTAGTATGTCACTGTGCTGACGTGTAAAGATAGGCTAAAAAACAATTGTTTTCATTTCATTTATTTCTGGTATACAGTAGTTAGGATAAAAAATGATGCAGTCGGAAAACCACAAGGGCTGGCGGGATAACCAGAAAGTAAAATAAATTAACTGTCAATGTGGCTCTCCATGCGTAGGATGTATACGACTGTAACTGTAACCAAGTTATTTTCCTATTCCCAATCATACACTAATTTTTCATTCATGCACAGTTTACTTGAATTTTTTCGGTTGTGTACCAAAGATAAAACTAACTTGTACAGTATATATCGAGCACTGCAATGAATTCTAGGCTAGTGTTTTTACACTGCACTGCCCTGCGTGAAAGATGACTTTCGTAAAACAGGGTTGATTAGAACCCGAAGAAATTACTTCAAATTCAATATTATGTATGGAAAATTAAGGAATTTCTTGAATCACTGGACTTCTCAAATTCATTATGGTAATGGTGGCGTATCTAGAAATATTGAAATGGGGAAGCTGATAAATTTTAATCAAGTTTTCATTGTAAATGTTTTTGGTGTTATGGGCTTCTGGCTCAGTGAGTCATATTGGGAATTGGCTTCTTCGGAATTCCAAGGCCTTTGTGTCAAATAATAAATGAAATGAAACAAAATGGGGATGGACAAGTTACGTGGGGGCCTTCATGTTTAAGTGAGTGATCTTAGCTGACAAAATATTAAGATACTTGATAGTTCCTTATTATTTTTGAAAATTCAATTCGACATACAATTGCTCAAAAGTTTTATGATAGAACATCAATAAAAAATAATCAAATGAAATTATAAACTTAATTTACTGCCCAATAATATGAGATGATTTGAAAATGCAGCATAATTTCTTTGCTCAGGAAATCTCTTGTGAGTGGAAGGAGGAAAGCACACAGCTTTTTTGGGGTATGTGCCCTAAAAGTTTCCCTGTAGATGCGACACTGGGCTCATGGATGAACAATTTGCCAAATAGTGTCTCTCTGGCATAGTAGCAGACTTAGGTGCAGTTTTGTGTAATTTTATGTTTACTGAAATTAAAACTAAACATCACAAAATCCCTGATGCTAGGGAGACATACTGATAGTTTTATGATTGCAAAATATAACAGCAATGTACATTGCAAATTTATGAATAAATACATAAATAAGTCGGACAAAGCACAGGACATGGAAACTAAAGATAAGCAGACTAAATATTACTGTCTGAGGTACTGCACTAAAAAATACGGTACAGTAAATCTTGATTTTCAAATTTTAAAAGCCACTTCAGTTTCATACACTGTAAGTTTATGTGTCCCAAAAATGAATAAATTATGTTAACTTTTACTGTGTCTTCATTGATGCTCTTAAATATATATTGCATCATATTGATTGGATTTATTAGTAACTATGCGTGGTGTCGTATATTCATGAATAAATTTCATCACGCATACTTGGCCTCGCTTCAGTGATTTGACTATCAACTATGTAAAATATCACGAAATAAAAGTGAGGAAATCAAATTAAATATATTATTCAAATCACATTAAAAAAATACATTTTTAAAAAGTCAGCTTGTTTAAAAACAATTCTCAAAATGTCATAAAAAAATGAGTCATAAAAAAAAAAGTCTCAAAGTGTCATGAATTTTTTT